TTCCCCCATTTTTTTTTTTTTTTTTCGTTTTTTATACTTTTTTCTATTCTCGCGTTACCTCCGGATGATCCATTTCTCGTGGTCCGATCCGTCGTCATTCGATTTCCTTTTTTCAATAGCGACCGTTTTCGCAGAATTCTCTCGGTTCCCACGGGACCAACCACGGATCGATAGATCCTCGATGATCGACGGTGACAACGCGATCCGGATCAACGGAAGTACCGCGCAATTTACCGACCGCTTCTACGTGTGCTTTTATACACCTAACTTCGCTGCACGCTATCGCTAGACCGACACGCGACTAACTGGACGCCGATCCCCGCGGCGCAGAGGGCGCTGCGCGGCGAAGCAGAGGGAGCCACGGTCGCGCGGCACGGGAAAGATGGCGCCCGATCGCCGGGCTCGCCTGGCGCGCGAAACACGCGCGCGTTCGCGTCTGGACGCCTCTGGACTCGCCGTCGCGACGCGCGCGGAGGCTCGGGGAGGGCAGCATCGGCGTCCAACGGTCCCCACGTGGCAGTTCGATAAAAAGACTCTTTTAAAATTGCACGACGTCGCTCGTGGATACACGCTTATAATCCTAGTACGCTCGGCCTTCGAAGACCGATCCCGATTCCCCGAGGGTTTCATACCCTTCCGCGAAAAATCAAATTGAACACCTTCGAGCCGTCGCCCGCGAATACACCCTGTTAAGAATCGTCGAAGCCTCCACACGGCGGGACGATTCGCGACGACGAGGCGGCGAGGGGCCCGCGTACCCCCCACCCCTGAACCAACCGGCCCCTCCAGGCACGCGCGCGCCACGCACGGTGAATAGAAACTCTCGCGTTCAGAGGGTAAAGTGTCTATGTACAGAGCAGGTCTAAGTTTAGACTCGATACAGGTTAGCTGACTTCGTTTGTACTTGGGGCACGGGCCCGTGGGCCCTACCTTGTGCGAAACTTTACATATTTACAGCGACGCGAAACGAAAGGGTTGCGGGATGGACGAGTGTGGAGAGAAAGAGAGAGAGAGAAAGTGAAGATAGAGAGAGGGGAAGAAGGGGGGGATATTTATGTGTATAAATCGTTCGCGATTCGATCTCTTTTCCTGTCCGCAAAAATTTTTTCCCGTCTGTATGTTCCTCTCGAACGTCTCTCGGTGTGGTTCGCGGAGAGAGAAAGAGAGGAGAGCTCGAGCTCGCGATTACGTTAGAACGAGAGTGGTGGGCTGCGTCCTGAGCTGCTGATCACTCGCGATTCATGTGTACTCCGATCGCCAACCGGTCTGAAACCAGACAAACAGAACATCCATGCGGTTTTCCGTGGAGACCCTGCTATATTTTTTCTTTTCTCTTTCTCCTCGGTCCCTGTCCAACTCTGTTTCCCTGATCTACGTTAATTCTGCTGGCCAGTGGCTAATTGGTTTTGGGGGGGAGGGCTAGAGGTATGGGAACTGATTGTGAGTGTAGAGAGGACTCACCATCGCGTTCGTCGTGGCGGCCAACTGGAGACCCTGGAGACTCGTCATGTGGTGAGAATGGGAGTGCGAGTGCGAGTGAGGGTGGATCGGTGGTGGCGCTGGCGGCGCGAACCCCTGGTGCAGGCCACCAGCCACACCTACACCCGTGTGATACATATAGTGCTGCATCGCTGGGTGCATCGTGTGGTGATGCTGCGACGTGCCTGCAATCATAATTTTTCATCCTTTTAGTTTTAGTTCTCATTATTTGTTTGCTTTTATTGTTAATAGTAATTTGCATAATTCGGAATTTTTACAGGTGGATGTAAATTTATTTGTGATAATTCTTATTTTCTTTCATTATTTTCTTTGACTGCCTTTCTATGTTATTTTTCATGAGAATTTTCTCGCGTTATAACTGTCAATGTTAGCTATTGACAGGAGGTTTCTAGACACTCGAATGAATATCGAGTATACGTTAAATTGGGAATTAAATGGTGGTACTATTGATACATCTAGAAAATTTTCTATAATTTTCTTTAATTATGTTTCTCGGTAATTTTCTCGCGTAATAACTGTCAATAGTAACTACTGACAGGCAGTTCCTAAACACTTGTGCGCATATCGAGTATATGTTAAATTGGGAATTAAGAAATGGTACTATTGACATGTCTAGAGAATTTTCAATAATTTTCTTTAATCATTTTCCTCAATAATTTTCTCAATAATTGTTTCGCGTAATTAATGTCAATACTAACTACTGACAGATGGTTTCTAAACATTTGTGTGGATGTCGAGTATATGTTAAATTGGGAATTAAGAAATGGTACTATTGACAGGTTTAAAGAATTCTCTATAATTTTCTTTAATTGTGTTTCTCAATAATTTTTTGCGTAATAACTGTCAATACTAGCTACTGACAGTCTTTATAATCTTCTTGATTTTTTTCCCTTAAAAATTTTCATTAATTATTTTTCTCAATAATTTTCTCACCTAACAACTGTCAATATTAGCTATGGACAGACGGTTCCTAGACACTCGCGTGAATATCGAATATATGTTAGATTGGGAATTAAGAAATGGTACTATTGACATGCCTAGAGGATTTTCTATAATTTCCATTAATCATTTTCCTCAATAATTTTCTCAATAATTTTCTCGCGTAATAACTATCAATACTAGCTATTGACAGTCTCTATAATTTTTTTGAATTTTTTTCTTTAAAAATTTTCATTAATTATTCTTCTCAATAATTTTCTCACCTAACAACTGTCAATATTACTAGTGACAAACGGTTCCTAGACACTCGCGTGAATATCGAATATATGTTAAATTGGGAATTAAGAAATGGTACTATTGACATGCCTAGAGGATTTCCTATAATTTCCATTAATCATTTTCCTCAATAATTTTCTCAATAATTTTCTCGCGTAATAACTGTCAATACTAGCTATTGACAGTCTCTATAATCTTCTTGAATTTTTTCCTTTAAAAATTTTCATTAATTATTCTTCTCAATAATTTTCTCACCTAACAACTGTCAATATTACTAGTGACAAACGGTTCCTAGACACTCGCGTGAATATCGAATATATGTTAAATTGGGAATTAAGAAATGGTACTATTGACATGCCTAGAGGATTTCCTATAATTTCCATTAATCATTTTCCTCAATAATTTTCTCGCGTAATAACTGTCAATACTAGTTATTGACAGTCTGTATAATTTTCTTCAATTTTTTCCTTTAAAAATTTTCATTAATTATTCTTCTCAATAATTTTCTCACCTAACAACTGTCAATATTAGCTATTGACAGGAGGTTTCTAGACACTGGCGTGAATATCGAGTATACGTTAAACCGAGGATTAAAAACTGATACTCTCGACATGTTTACGGGATTAGTATGATCTTAAGACTTAATGGGATTATGGGATACAACTTATAACAGTTTATTAAAACATATTAATCATGTAAGGAAATGTAACATACAAAGTCAGATTCCATGTCAGTGGTTGACAGTGAGAACATGAAGCAACATTTTCGACTTTCTCAAATTTTGGAAGCGGAAATTTGGCATAAACGAAGTTCAATCTTCTCGAACACTTCTAATTTAATTTTCCTGATCTTTTTAATCTAGAACAGGAACACGAAGTCGCAAGAAAATGCAAACTTGACACGAAGTAAGAGCAAAGTTAATTTGCAGAACTTGACTGTTTCCAATTTAACTTTTCCAGTTTGTTCGTCGAGAAAATGAGATATTTGAGATGTCGAGATATGTCAAGGAAATGAAGGCAATGTAAATATACTAAGACGCAGGAATCTACGTTTCTGATTCCGGAAGCAGAAATTCGAGGTGAAGTACGAACATGCTACAATGTAAAATACGAAGTGAGAAATTTGTGTAACTAATCTATCCTTCAATTAGTATTCCCAATTTAATGTTCCTATTTTACTAACTCCAATGACAGAATATTGGATTAAAATATTATTTTCACGATTTCGTCGAAATATAAATTAGCAAAATTATCTCTAAAGTTGGAAAGTAAATTGAATTTTTCCAATGTGAATACTCGATTCCAATTATTTTAATTATTTATAAGTAATTAAGGAGATAATTGTTATACAAGGTGCAGAAATAAAATAAGAAATTCGAAGTACAACTTGATTTCTTATAATTCCGAAAATAAAAACTCGAGGTGAAGTATAAACGTACTACAAGGTAAAGTATGGAGCGAAAAATTTGCATAATTATTCTACCTTTCCTCTAGTTTTCCTATTTTTATTTTCCTATTTTCCTACCCCTAATGACAGAATCTTGGAAGAAAATATTATTTTCACGATTTCGTCGAAATGTAAAATAGTACAATTATTTTGAAAACTGGAAAATAAATTTAATTTTTCCAATGTGAATCCTCAATTTCAATTATTCTAATTATTTACTAGTAAATAACGAGACAATTGTCATCCGAGGTGGAGAAATAAAATAAAAGATTTGTACTACTACTTAATTTCTCACAATTTCGGAAACAAAAACTCGAGAAACTAATATTTCTGATTTTATTTTCCCATTATTCTAACCCCAATCTTGATTGACAGAATCTTGGACTAAAATATTATTTTCACGAATTCGTCGAAATAAGAAATAGCACAATTATTTTGAAAACTGGAAAATAAATTGAATTTTTCCAAAGTGAATCTTCGATTCCAATTTTTCTAATTATTTACAAGTAATTAGCGAGACAATTGTTATACAGGGTGAAGAAATAAAATAAGAAATTCAAACTGCCACCTGATTTCTCATAATTCCTAAAACAGAAACTCGAGGTGAAGTACAAACGTGCTATGTAAGGTAAAATACGAAGCAGAAAATTTGTAGAATTATTCTAGCCTTCCTCTAAAATTTCCAATTTTATTTTCCTATTTTTCGAATCCTAATGACAGAATCTTGGACTGCTATATTATTTTCACAATTTCGTCGAAATATAAAACAGCGCAATTATCTCGTAAATTTAAATCTTCACTCGATCTCTCACAATTCCGATTTTATTCTTCTATTTTTATAATCCCCAATGACAGAATTTTGGACTGAAATATCATTTTCACGATTTCGTCGAAATATAAAATAGTACAATTATTTTGAAAACGAGAAAGTAAATTGAATTTTTCCATTTCGAATACTCGATTCCAATTATTGTAATTATTTACAAGTAATTAACGAGACAATTGTCATACGAGGTGGAGAATATTTGATTTCTTGCGATTCCTAAAATAAATATGCTACAAGGTAAAATACGAAGTAAGAAATTTGTAAAATTATTCCATCCTTCCTTTAAAATTTCCGATTTTATTTTCCTATTTTTCCAACCCGTAATGGCAGAATTTTGGACTGCTATATTATTTTCCCGATTTCAACAAAATATAAAATAGCGCAATTATCTCCTAAATTTAAATCGTCACTTGATCTCTCACAACTTGATCTCTCCGGAAACAGAAACTCAAGGAAACTAATATTTCCGATCTTATTCTCCTATTTTTCTAATTCTCCGATGACAGAACCTTGAACCAAAATATTATTTTCACAATTTCGTTGAAATAAAATAGGAAAATGAACTGAATTTTTTCCTTGAAAATACTGGATTCCAATTATTCCAATTGCTTACAAGTAATTAACGAGACAGTTATTGTACGAGATACAAAAATAAAATAAGAAATTCAAACTACCACTTGATTTCTCACAATTCCGAAAATAAAAATTCGAGGAAACTGATAATCCCGATTTTATTTTCCTATTTTTCTAATCCAGATAACAGAATCTTGATCTACTATACTATTTTCACGATTTCATCAAAATAAAGAATAGCAAAATTATCTCAAAAATAGAAAAATAAACTGAATTTTTCCGTTGCGAATTCTCGCTTCGAATTATTCCAATTATTTACAAATAATTAAGGAGACAATTGTCACAAGAAGTGGAGAAATAAAATAAAAATTTCAAACTACTGCCAGATTTCTCACGCTTCCTAAAATAGGAACTCGAGGTGAAGAATAAATAAATAAATATGCTACAAGGTAAAATACAAAGCAAAACATTTGCACAATTACTCTATCCTTCCTCTAATATTTTCAATTTCATATTCCCATTTTTCTAACCCCAATAACAGAATCTTGTACTAAAATACTATTCTCACGACTTCATTAAAATAAAGAATAGCAAAATTATCTCAAAAACCAGAAAATAAACTGAATTTTTCCATTGCAAAACCTCGCTTCCAATTATTCCAATTATTTACAAATAACCAAGGAGATAATTATCACATCGCAAAAATGAAAAATAAAATAAAATAAAAATTCGAATTATCACTCGATATCCCAATTTTCGCGTCCTCGACGCTGGAATATCTCGGAACAACGTTCAATTTTCGAGATTTGGAGACAGAAAGGAAGGTAGTGGTTTAACCACTTGCGCTATAAAGACGTGCCACACACGTCGAGATGCTTTCGTTCCAAAGTCGTCAGCGACGTGTAGACCACGTCGATAGGCATTTATCGCAGAAACAAAAACGACGTGTCTGTCACGTCGGCTAACAGTTAGCTCGCAGACACGGTGTGGCGTCAATGTAACACCTTACCACATGTTATATCATAGAAAGTTAACCCTTTGCACTCTAAAGGCTCCCTTCAGTCGCCATTTGATAAAATTTCAAAGATCGATACTCATTAATATGCCAAATTTAAGATAATGCAACGGTGTGCGAGGTATCGAAATGAAATAATTCTGTATGTTAATTATTATACGAATTCTTATTTACTGCCCCAAAAAGTATCGTCAGCTTTATAGCAGAAAATCCTCGAACTCCTGCTCTTCTTTAGCTAAAAAATCATCGAGTGCAAAGGGTTAAATCGTAGCGCAAGTGGTTAACACGTTGACTGCCACGCGCATTTTACGTGCTTTACCCCTGGCGCCAACATGAATATTTTATTATACGATGCATATTATGTTGAAATATTATTTACAACAGATAAGGTGAGTTGCATAATCGCGTTTAATGTATTTTTCGTAGTGGGGGTCACCGGTGACCCCCGCGGCGCTGTAGACCATTCTTGCCATTATCAATTGTTTAAAAAGCAACTGGAAAAAATATTTCAATTCCCGATTTTAGGACGAAGTTAGCGATGTATTTAGTGAAATGTTCCGATCACGAAGATTGCCTTTCATCGAGCAATTACGTAGAGAAAAAACGTCGTCACGAATTTAAAAGGAAACCTGGAAGTGTGCGAAATGTAAGGCGATTTTGCAAAGTGTGCTATGAAAATAATTCAAATCAGCTAGGAAGAATGAGAGCAAAGAATTGCACTAAAAAAGTGACGACATATCGTGCCTTCTGTTTTGGTTCACCTTTTCTTTGTATAAATCAAATTATTTTTGCATGTTCTGTATGGCATTAATTTCTTCGAACTATTATAGTAATAATGGTACTATTTCAAAATTGATCGATATCGATGTTTAATGTAATTGTGTATTTTTACTAATGGTCGCGTCGCCGGCCACACCGGTGGCCCCCTCGGCGCTGTAGCAAAGTTAAGTGCCGGTCACCGGTGACCCCCATGGCAGTCAACGTGTTAAGAAGCTTTGAAAACGAGGTACTTACTCATGGGCGAGCCGAACCCGGAATGGAAGGGCTTGTTGTCGAGATCGAGGTGACCACTGGCCTTGATCATATCGCCCATGACGCCGCCGAGGCCCAGGCAGCCGCCGGCCTTCTTCTTCTTGCTCTTCGACGACAGCTTCCTGTTCCTCGTCTGAATGCCCTCCTTCTTCATCGTCAGCGGCCGGTTCACCTGTAAGAGTCGTAGCCAACAATTCGTTGAGTCGATCGGTTTTAATCTAACGCGGCTTCCGGCCAGCCGGGCGCGTCACGGTGTACAAACGACCGAGGTTAATCATTCCTTTAACGCGTAATTAAGCGATTCGCCAACCGGCTGATTACTCGCTAATTCCCATGCAAATCACCCGCGAGGAAAAACACCGGCCACAAGCGCATGGAAATGAAGGGGAGCTTTTCTCCCATGACCGTCTAATTTTCGCGCAGACATCTTGGACGTGCACTTGGCTATACACGAATTATACCGATTCGCACCAATCTCTCGCGATTTTGTTATTTACGCGAGACTGATAAGCAGGCAGTTGGGACATGTCTCAGAGTGAAAATAGGGTACGCGAATTTTCGTTGCTGGGAACGGGATGTAAGTAGAAGTACCAGGTGGGGTCATTGCGACGTTTGAGGGACAGAGGATAGGAGAAACGAGGATTAAAATGGAACAGAAAGTGGGAATTTGACAGTTTGGTTGCAATTCAAAGGTTTGATTATAATGACAGGATATTGTACTTCCTGGGAGTAGAGCGAAGTACTGGGTTTACAGAGTAGATGGGACACGCGGAGATTGAATGGAGTTGACATAAAATACAATGTAGGATAGGTTAAGATGTAATAGGTTCATCTGTTTTGGTATGCTAAGTTTGTAAAGACACTGGGTAGAGATCAGAAGTTTGACAGGTTGTTGAATTGTCAAGGAAGAAGTGTCATGAACAATTGTGTCCTTAATCGAGATGAAATAAAAGACAGATTGACATGTTGACAGTTTGTTGAGCTCATCTTTTTCAGTTTACTAGCAAATACCCTGTGTAGAGATCAGAAGTTTGACAGGTTGTTGAAGGAAGTGTCATGAACAATTGAGTCTTTAATCCAGATAAAATAAAAGACAGATTGACATGTTGACAGTTTGTCGAGCTCATCTTCTTCGATATACTAGCAAATACCCTGTGTAGAGATCAGAAGTTTGACAGGTTGTTGAAGGAAGTGTCATGAACAATTGAGTCTTTAATCGAGATAAAATAAAACACAGATTGACATGTTGACAGTTTGTCGAGCTCATCTTCTTCGATATACTAGCAAATACCCTGTATAGAGATCAGAAGTTTGACAGGTTGTTGAAGGAAGTGTCATGAACAATTGAGTCATTAATCGAGATAAAGTAAAACACAGATTGACATGTTGACAATTCGTTGAGCTCATCTTTTCCAATTTACTAGCAAATACCCTGTGTAGAGCTCAGAAGTTTAGGTTATTATGAACAACAGAGCTTTCAATCTAAGTAAAATAAAATACAGATTGACAAGTTGACAGTTCGATGAGCCCATGTTCTCTGATACACTATAATTACAAGGACAAGTCTTTGTTGAAAGTATCATGGACAACTAAGCCTCCAATTCAAATAAAATAACATGCAGAAATATTTAATTGACAGTTTGACGAGTCCATTTTCTCCAATACACTCGCAAATACCCTGTGTAGAGCTCAGAAGTTTGGGTCAGGTTGTTAATGGAAGTATGATGAACAGCTGAGCCTCTAACCTAAATAAAATAAAACACAAATTGACAAGTTGACAGTTCGATGAGCCCATCTTCTCCAATACACTATAATCGCAAGGACAGGTCTTTATTGGGAATATCATGAGAGACTAAGCCTCCAATCCAAATAAAATGGAACATGGAAATATTTAATTGACAGTTCGACGAGTCCGTTTTCTCCAATACGCTAACAAAGACTCTGTGTACAGTCCAGAAGTTCAATTGCAATGACAGGCCACTGTTGGAAGTATCATGAAGACCCAAATCACCACAGTAGATAGGACAAATAAAGGTTAAATAGGATTAAAATAAGATAAAATACAGACTAGGTGAACACGTAACAAGCCTATCTTCTCTAATAGGCTAACAAAGACACTGTGTATAGCTCAGAAGTTTGACAGCTCGTTGCTACAATATCATGAACAAGTCTCCAATCCAAATAAAATAAAATAGATTTATAAGTTAACAGTTCGACGACATTGCATCTTCTTCAATACACCAGCAAAGACCCTGAGCAGAGCCAAGAAATACAATTGCAATGACAGGTCATTGCTGGAAGTATCATGAAGAACCAAATCACCACAGTGGATAGAACACATGAAAGTTAAATACGATTAAAATAAAATAAAACAAAATACAGACTAGGTTAAGATGTAGCAAGCCCAGTGTAATATGCTATCAAAGACCCTGTACAGAGCTCAGAAATTGAATCGCATTGACAGGTCATTGCTGGAAATATAAAGACCCGAATTACCACAGTAGATACAACACATAGAGGTTAAATGGGATTAAAATAAAATAAAATAAAATAAAACACAGACTATGTGAAGACGTGACAAGCCCAGCTTCCCCAATATGCTGTCAAAGACCCTGTTGTCTAAACCTGAGAAGTTTAGTACAGGTCGTTGCTGCAAATACTATGAACACCAGTCTCCAGAGTAGATAGGGTACATGAAGGTTAAACAGAATTGAAATAAAATAAAACACAGACTAGGTGCAGACGTAACAAGCCCACCTGCTCTAATATGCCAGCAAAGACCTCGTACAGAGCTCATAAGTTGAATCACAATGACAGCTCGTTGCTGAAAGTATCATAATCATTTAACTAAGCCTCCAACTCAAATAAAATAGAACACAGATCGGTACCATATCCGCGATGACTGAAGGTCGCCTCTGGGGTGCAAAGGGTTAAACTCCCCAAGAGTCTACAACCCAACAGCAAATACAGGTCACACGAACCTCCCACCCTATATAAAGGAACCTAATCCACCATACCCGATCATACCCATGCCCAAAAATAAATAAAGTCCACAGATCCACGGACCCCATTAACGCATTGAGCGCCGGCCTCATTCGCTTGTTCCCGAACAACGAGTAGCTAAAGAAAATATTTCAAACTTATACATTTTCTTAAAATACTATATTTTGATTGCATATTCGTCGTTCTGTGGACACTTCGCTATTACCAGAATCATCGGGATCACTCGAATATTGTAATGGAACAGCTCTAGATATTCTCCCTGGGCCCAAATCGCTATCACTGTCCTCGACTTGCATGTCAGAATCTTCTGAACGTATCGAATAATCTGATAGAGGCCAGCGATATACTCGTTAAAAACTTCGCTCATATTACATGGGTAAAAAGTTACGGAATAACAAGACTTATTACATCGTTCGACGAAAAGCGTAAACCTTCGAAAGAGGTGCTAACTAAGGAATACGCTGCTCGAGAGTGATTCTTGCTTTGACTGTTTCTGGACCATCGTATACGTTTTATTTTCGGAGTGCAACAAATGCAGATTGTCGTAAACGTGACATGCGAATACAAATCGACGCGTAAGACATCCATACGAGTGAACAAAAATCCTCATCATCGTGAGGGTGAGAGTCAAGTGACAAACTTAGAAACCCGCGTTATGGGCCGGGATCGGTGCTCAATGTGTTGACACATTGCGTACAGCATAGAAATCCCTAAGACATGGATCGCACGTTTAGACGAGACAGTATGTTGACATCTAAGGAAAAACGAGAAAACTCGTGGGCTGTATGCAATGTGTTAAGCACCCGATCATGAAAGCCACATCATCAGCACGAGCCAAATCCAGCACCAAATCCCAAACCGTAGGTTTCCAGCTGACCGTGACTAAAGTTAGACCAAACCAGCGACATGTCCCCGCCTGTGATGATCCTCGGGTCTGTACTGGCAAGTGGAAGGGTTACGGCGGGCCCACGAGGAGATTGCGCGTAATTCGGCAAATTCGAGCAATCGCGTAATTCCGAAAAGAGTCGTTGACCGTCTGCGGACTGGCGGTTGGGTGTCGGGGCGAGGGATCGAGACGCGGCGATGGGGCGACGCGCGCGAGCGACAGAGAGGAGCGGACAGCTCCGCGAGAGATAGGGGGCTGGCGAGGCGGAGGACGAGGGAGGATGATGCCTCCACCGCCACCTCCGGAGGCTCGTTCGCGCATCCCGCAATACCGGGAACCTTTTCCTTAAGTTGGCAGTTGCGTCACGTCGCGGCAACTACAAAGCGCGCCTCCGCCTCCCCCTCGGCCACCCCTGGCCCCCCGACGGCCAAGCATTTCCTCCTCCGCCGCCGCCGCCGCCGCAGCAGCAGCAGCGATGCAGCACACCACACTTGCATACCTAGTTATTTCGTACTTAAGCATTGCACGCGCACGCCGAGCATATCCGCGCGCGCACACGCACGCATAATTGGTCCTGCGATGCGAAAATGTGCCGCCTCTGCGACGCGACTCGGAGTTATCGCTGGGTAATGGCAGCTAGAGGTGAGCGGACCCCAGAAAACGCCGGGACCAGGTCCCGACACCCTATACACCCCGATTCCACCCCAATTTTCACATCCCTGACGATATTTAGAAATATTTCCAAGTGCGGCGTGAAGACATCCTTCATGAGCTTGGTGGAGAAACTGATCGCTGTTACGTGTGAGATCTCTGAGCTCTGCACCAGGCTTGGCAAGGAAGAAGTGCCTAACGAATGGTAAGAATCCCTCATGATCTATTCGACGAATTTTTCATTTCTCAAAACCTTATCTCATTTAACCTCTTGCACTCGAGAGAGGCGACCCTCGGTCGCCATTAAATCAGTTTCTAAAGATCGCTATTAATTAACCACTTGCGCTGGAAAGACGTGCCACGCACGTCGTGATGCTTTTGTCGCAGAATCGCCAATCACGTGGTACACACGTCGTCAGGCAATTGTCACAGAAACACTGGACCGTTCTGACACACGTGTATATGAATTTCTTGCCAACGCAAGTGGTTAACCGTAATATGTGTGGCAGTGGAGTGGATACGGCCCTGAGAGAACGTGAGCAGTGTTTGGGACTCAAATTGGTAGAAAGTGTAAACAAAACAGGCACGTGATCGATGCTGAGGATAGGTGGTTGGTGAACGTGGATACTGAG